GGAAGGAGAAACTGAAATTCAATGAAGTCAGAAATTTGGTGGTGAGCGAAGAAATTCGCAGGAAGGAATCAGGCTTGACTTCTGGATCGGCGTTGAGTACAGAGAACCGGGGCAGAACGAAGTCGAAGTCCAAATCAAATAGAGATATATCAAGATCGAAATCCAAGTCAAACAACAAGGGCAAGAAGGACAGAAGTCAGATCAAGTGCTGGAACTGTGAGGAGTATGGACACTTCAAGAGCGAGTGCAAGGAGCAGATCAAGGATCAGAAGGAGAAGACATCCGCCAATGCAGCGGCAGAATCATCTGGCGATGATCTCCTGATCCTGAGCGTGAGCAGTCCGTTGGAGTCATGGGTTCTGGATTCTGGAGCTTCGTTCCATTCATGTGATAATGCTGAAGTGATGGAACAGTATACTCCCGACAATTTTGGACAGGTGTATCTTGCTGATGATGAGCCTCTTAAAATGTTAAGACTCCGAACGGATGCATGCTGAAACTGAATGGAGTCCGACACATTCCTGGTTTGAGGAAAAATCTTCTTTAAATTCGGCAGCTGGATGAGGAAGGCTATGCAGTTATATTCGGTAGCAGAAAGTGGAAGATCACCAAGGGAGCCTTGCTGGTTGCTAAAGGCAAGAAGGAGGGAACGTTGTACATGACAACAAACTCTAAGGATTGTATTGATGTTGTTGCCGCTGCAGCAAATGATGTCAATTTGTGGCACTGTCGTCTCGGTCACACGAGCGAAAAGTGGATGAAGGAGTTGTGCTCGAAGGGCAAACTGCACGGCCTGAAGACTGTTGAGGTTGGCTTTTGCGAGGACTGCATATTCGGGAAACAGAAACGTGTCAGTTTCTCGAAGAGTAGACGAGCTATTAAACTGGAGAAGCTGGAACTAGTTCACACCGACCTTTGGGGACCTGCAAAAGTTACATCCTTGGGAGGATCCGCCTACTAAATGACCTTTATAGATGATGCCACAAGAAAGGTGTGGGTTTATTTTCTCAAAAATAAATCTGATGCCTTTGATGCTTTCAGGAAGTGGAAAGCTCTTGTTGAGATGGAGACATGTCTGAAGTTAAAGTACCTTCGGTCTGAAAATGGAGGTAAGTATGAACTGCATGAGTTCAAGAAGTTTTGTGCTGAGAACGGGGTTCGTATGGAGAAGACAACAAAGGGGACTCCACAGCATAATGGCGTTGCTGAACGCATGAGCAGAACACTGAATGAGCGGGCTAGATGCATGAGGTTGAAGAGTGGCTAACCGAAGATGTTTTGGGCGAATGCAGTAAAAACCGCGGCTTTTGTCATCAACAGAAGTCCAACGATCTCGTTCGATAATGGCATACCTGAAGAAAGGTGGACGGGTAAGGAGGTCAATATGTCTTATCTCCACATATTTGGTTGTGTTGCTTATGTTCATCTCAGTTCCGTTGACCGAAGCAAGCTAGACGCTAAATCTGACAAGTGTACGTTCGTTAGCTATGGTGACGACAACTATGGACACAGATTCTGGGATGATCAGAATAGGAAGATTATTTGTAGTCGAGATGTGGTGTTCAATGAGCAGGTTATGTACAAGGACAGATTGAGTGCACCTGATTATGAGCAAGAAAGTCCGAAGATCATAGAGTTGGATATCTCTAATTCGGGTGGGAGCAAGCAAGATCAGAATGAAGAATTGAGCAGTGATGAGGATCCATCAACCCCACCAAGGGAGCGCCCTGCTAGAAACCGGAGAGCATCAAATAGGTATTCACCTTCTAATTTCTATTTGTTGCTTACTGATGGTGGTGAACCGGAGTCCTATGCAGAGGCAGTTCGGGTTGATGACAAGGGCAAGTGGAAACTTGCAATGGATGATGAGATGGCATCTCTCACATCCAATGATACTTGGAGATTAGTTGAGCTACCGAGAGGAAAGAAGGCTTTGCACTGCAAGTGGGTTTACCGCATCAAGAAGGAGGCAGATGGTAGCAAACGCTACAAAGCTAGGCTGGTAGTGAAGGGATTCGATCAGCGGTATGGTATCGATTACACCGACATATTCTCTCCAGTTGTGAAACTAACTACCATTCAGTTAGTGTTGGGGTTAGTTGCTGCAGAGAATTTGTTGTTACATCAGATGGATGTGAAGACTGCATTCCTTCATGGTTAATTGAATGATGAGATTTACATGGTGCAACCGGAGAGTTATGTGGCAGAAGGCAGTGAGGATCTCGTATGTAAGCTAGTGAAGAGCTTATACGGGTTGAAGCAAGCACCGAAGCAGTGGTACAAGAAATTTGATGGTTTCATGAGGGACATAAATTTCTTGAGATGCCACACCGACAATTGTTGCTACTACAAGAAGCCGGAGAACTGTTATCCTATCCTGTTATAATATGTTGATGATATGTTGATTGCATGAGCTAGTTCAAAGGAGATTGAGAAACTAAAGAAACAGTTGTCAGAACGTTTTTCCATGAAGGATCTTGGAGATGCAAAGTAGATTTTGGGCATGCGAATCGAGAGGGATGAGGCAACGGGCAGAATGTTTCTTTCATAGGCAGAATACATTCAGAAGGTCCTGGAAAGATTCAGAATGCAAGATGCAAAGGCAGCAAGTGTACCACTGGGTAGTCACTTCAAGCTCAGTTAGGAAGATTCGCCGAAGAACAAGGAGGAGTGTGCTCAAATGCAGAATGGCCCATATGCCTTGGCAATTGGCAGCATCATGTACGATATGGTATGCACGAGGCCAGACATTGCACATGCGGTGGGAGTAGTGAGCAGATTCATGGGAGATCCCGGGAAAGAACACCGGGAAGCTGTGAAGTGGGTCATGAGGTATTTGAAAGGTACTGCTTCTAATGCTTTGTGTTTTGATGGGAAGAATGTAAAGCTGCTGGGACATGTTGATGCAGACCTAGCATCAAATGACTCGGATGGATCGAGGAGCACCACCGGGTATGTTTTTACATTTGGTGGGACAACAGTTTTCTGGCTTTCACAGCTGCAGAAGATTGTTGCATTATCTACCACTGAAGCTGAATATGTGGCCATTACGGAGGCAAGTAAGGAGATGGCATGGTGTGGCTTCAGAATCTACTTGGGGAACTTGGGAAGGAGTGCAAGAATAGCATTCTTTACAGTGACAGTCAAAGTGTTATTTTCTTGGCAAACAACTCAGCTTTTCACAAGAGAACCAAACACATTCGGTTGAAGTATCACCTCATCCGTCATCTTCTGGAGATAGAGGCATTGCAGCTTGTGAAGATCCGTGTGAGTGAGAATCCAGCAGATATGTTTACTAAGGTGGTAACCTTGGAGAAATTGAAGCTTTGCATAGCTTCAATTGGCCTTGGTACTTGAAGTTGAAGGTCGGCGCTACCATGCTAACAAGGGAGGATTTGAAGAAGACAGTCTAATGGTGGGAGATTGTAAGGTATTAGAGACTGTATAACCAAAGCTTTTCTTAATTTATTTTTGGAAATACGTTTGTTAATTTATTTTTGGAAATGCATCCTAGTTGCCTTGGAGTTAGGATTTACTTCTCCATAAATACAAGCTCTCTCCTTTGTAATTGTGTGGATCCGAAAATAGCAATAATATTCCTACCTTGGTAGCGCTCCCAGACGTAGTCATTCATGGCGAACTGGGTTACCAAATTTCGTGTGTTCTTTAAATTGTTCTTCCTGTAGCGTAAATTAATTCCTAACACGATTCGGATTCCACTCTAACTCGTGATCACGATGCAAGTCCATGCTATCCAACCCCGCTCTCTAGAGTCGGGAAGGGCCATGGTCCTTACTATTTACCATAATTCAATCGGCTATCCTCAAGGACTACCGAATACACCCGTAGGCCAATCCTATATCTAGGATCAATTTATTATTCACTTAATCTTGGGTATCCCTTAAGGCCTACCCTTAGTATAACTTAAAGTTCATACAAATCCACATTAGCATCTCTTAAGACTACTTAAGGTTCACTATTTCACAATCCTTCCTTGGATCAATTCTAGCATAATCTCATTTCAATACCCCGACTAGTATTTTAATACTAGTCGGATAAATTCTATCAACCAAGTTCTCCTCAATTCAGTCATGTAAACAATTTTCAAACTAATTTTCCATTGAAAATAAAGTTCATATCAATATACAAAATATCACTTTTAATCACTCGTATATTCTTATATGAAGTAAAAAGTATATTTCAACATAAAGATTACAGTTAATTCCATTCTCAAGTCAACATACTCATAACACATAATCATACACAATTTATTCTTAAATTTGTATATTATGCTCCTTTTCTTTATAGACAATAGTCTCCTCATTTTTAGGCATTATTAATCATTAATAAATCCATAAAGACACATTTAATTACCTTAGGTAATCTCATGAAATTAACTCACTAATTATAAGCAATATAGTCAGTCATCCTCACCTCGAATTAGCACTATGAAGTTCTACCCTTCTCGGTTGAACTCCGGCAAAACTCTGGCGACTTTTGACGAACTCCGGCGACTCTTTCAACTTCGTGAAAGCTCTTGAAATACCTTAAACAAGTGTCTTACAAGGTTTTATAATCATAAAATCCATATTAATACAAATAACCTTTAAAAGGTTATTTTCCGGCGAACTGGTAACATTGACTATAAGTTCGTTCTTGGACTTTGAATCACTTTTCAACCCATCTTTCTACATATGTAAGCAACACAACCAAACACTCTCAAATACACTACAATAATCACGCTTCTAGTTGTTTGTACACCAAGCATTTTTCAAAGTTCCAAGACATTTTCTTACACCAGATGAATATACATACACTACAATAATCACGCTTTTACTTGACAAAAGGCAAAACCAACATTATTAATGCCTGAACTGATCAATAACAATAGTGAATTGTTGATATATATTTATTCAAATACAACAATTTAATTTATTACTACGTATTATTAATTATTCAATACATATTTAATTTATTCATATATCAATAATTTTTTTGAGAGTTATCAATAATTTATTATTATCAATATATCCATATAAATATAAAATGGTTGTAGATCAGAGCGAACCAGACCTCAGTTAGCTAGCTCCACTGCTCAGGGTTGATTGTAGCTTTTCCAAATTAATTAAGGATGAGTCCTTGGCGCGACCCTTTAAGATAAAATGGTTTGAAATCGACATTAGTCAAAGACATAAATTGTTAGAACTAGTGTATCAGAGAATAATATCCGTATATTTAAATTCTAAACGAGATTAATTGAAATATATGTAGAACTCCAACGCATTATTCCATCCATAGATTGTCAATTTCACGTGGACTAATTATGATAATCTTATTTTTCACACGAAGAGTCGTCACTACTCTTCATTCAAATTTTCATCTAATTAAACTTAATCAAAACCTCTTTCTACTTAAATTATTTCTTCCTAAAATCCTCGGCAATTGTAGTCTAAACTTTGCCACTTTTGATTTAGTTTACGTGAAAATCTTGGATAAGTTATGTTGCGTTAGGATGTTTTTACTTGGACGGTAATTCGTCCCAGACCAGACAAGACCAAATTAAATTTGGATATTTATAAAAATATAAAGAGACCAGACATTACCAGACCAGACCTGATCAGATCAGATCAGATCAGACCAGACCAGACCAGCAAATTAAAATCCAACTAAAAACATCCTTAAACCAATAGGCCGGTGTTATATAACCTCGTCTTCTAAAATGACGGGACATTATAAGCATAGCCAAACACACATACATGCATGATGTTAATGTTTTTTATACATCATATCGGAAAAGAAAAGAGAAAAAATTAGAATCTAATAGTCTCTACTCCATTTGCATCCTCCCAGAGAGAGCGTGTCATCCAAATAGGAGCCTCTTGAACAATAGTCAAATGTTCTGACGCTTCGTGTGTTGCATTTGCCAAAAAATCCGCACATTTATTCCCTTCTCAAAATGTATGATGTACTTTAATAAATCTCTCATCGGCCAAGAGTTTCTGACAATCTCGCACAAGAACTCCTCTACTATTATTAGCACTCAGCCCCTCTTTATTCTTGACAAACTGAATAATACTTTTTAAATCCGTTTCAATAATTACCTTGAGATCTAGATCCCCTGCTAGCAAGAGTCCCTGTCTAAGACCCCATAACTCTGCCTTAAAGCTATCGGTTCTTCCAATATTTAGCATACAACCTCTCACCCATTCCCTCTTTAATGGTTTGCTTTACAGATTATTAAAAATTTATATAATGTAATACTATCTTTGGAGTTGTTACGAATTTCTTTTTATTTAACTAGGGGTCAGGATCGGACGCACTATGGGGACCATGGGGGTAAATAGGGCCACAACTCTCTACATGAAGTTTCAAACCTTAGACTTCCGAAAAGAGAGAGTGACTCGGCGGCCCTGAACTATACCGTTTCCACGGGATTGCTACGAATGTAAATGCACACATACATACTACTCACTACAATATATTATGATGAGCATATAAAAGTGTGCAAGAACCTGTGGTTGTGAATGGGGTCAGGTCCTTTTGGTACGGCTCTTTTACTCACATAATTGATAGAGTTATGAGTGTGATGACTAAGAGAATAATGTTGTCTCATCGTCTTTCGAATCATTATGTTATTCGAAGGGGGGAGGGGAGAAATCATCATCATCATGATCATCGCGTCCTCAGTGTCAGCTTCAGTTGACTTGTGGTGTTTGTGATGAGCCAAAATCCCTACTAATACAATCAAGAGAAAACAAACAACCACTAGTATTAAAACATTATAATTTCGAAGGCTTGGCTTGTTGTCCATCTCTCTATCTCCTTTTCTTTATGTAAATACTTTGAGTTTCTTGTTTGGGAGAGAAATATGAGAGAGAAGATCTAATGGAGATATATAAAAGACTAAAGAGTCAAATAGGTTCTTGTACCGGTCATGTAAATTCAATTCAGTTCCTGAATTAAAAAAAGGTCCAATTAGCACTCTGAACTGGCAAAAAAAGGTTCAAGTAGATTATAAAATGATTTTGGAGGCGAGAAGTATTAAAGAGAGAAAAGATATCTAGAAAGAAGTGTGTATAATTTGTTTTAAATTACCTTTACTCGTCATTCAAACTCTTTAATCTTTAAACAAGTACTACGTATTAATTGTATGGTATTAACTTCTTAAAATTATGTAAGTTGAAGGAATGTCAATCAGGAATGGAGTATATGAATATAACATCAAAAGATCACAATTGAAGAAATGAAGAAAAAGTCAAGATAGAGCTCCCTTTTTAGCACTAGAGGATAGAAAGGATTGTGAGTAGACTCAGCTCCATCCAATGATTTCCAAATATCTTCTTTAAGTTTTTTTGCCAAACGAGAGAGTTTTCAATTCTTTGAATTTCTAACCTCACCAAGGATGAAAAAAATCAGTATAGATGTATATATATATATATATATATATCAATAATTTATTTTTATAAAAATATTGGTAAATATACAGATAATGATCTTGTCCAAAAGAAAATGTGAAAAATTATTAAATTTATAAAATATATAAAGATAAAAATTTTGAGTTAAAATTTACCTCAAACAATATAATTAAATGTACATTTATATGTAATGTATCTATATTTGTCTGAACTTTATGATTTTATTTATTTGAAATATGTGTCATATAGATATCACTTAGGTTGAGTAGGTTGAAAAAATAGAAATACTAAATAAATATTACCTATGTGCATATTTAAGCTACTCGTTTTAATATCACACATGTTAAGGAAATATTTTTTTCCCTTTAACTTCACGAAGTACCTTTTTTATCGAAGATAAATATTTTTCTGTAGAATATATTTTTTATACTGTTTCACACTATGTTGTCGGCGGGTTAGCTATATTTTTTTAGCCCACCCGGCCACCCGCTTGGCTCGCGTTAACTTCTAATCAACCCACATATATACAATTTAAATGGATACCCCGGGTAGAATCGTGTAGAAAAAAATATATTACTTCGGGTTGGGTCTTTATTATGCCGCACTAATATAGTCAAGCTTAAGCTCAACCAACGAATTACTCAAATTCACAATTGCATATGAAAAATTGCAAGTCTAAAGACTCTAAACTGATGTGTAACAACATCTCTTTTTTTTTATGTAAAAGAAGTTCCTATAGAAGCAAATATAATCATTCAATTAGGCAAAATGGCAGTTACTTTATAACTCTAATTTTTAAGTAGAGCATGGCTGTCTTAAACAAGAAATAATCTAGTAAATATTTTTGTAGAAAAATAAAGAAGTACATAGTACTACCTCCGTCCCTCTAAGTTTAGGACAAAGGGGTGTGGTGTGGTGTGGTGTGGTTTTTAAGAAAAAAATAGAATTGTGTGGTTAATATTGAATTGATAAAGTGTGAATAAAGTAAGAATGAATTGTAACCACCCAAATATTACCAAATATGGTATAAGACAAACTTAATGTGATAAACGAAAAAGGGTAAACCAGAACAAAGTTAGGGGACGGAGGGAGTAACTTTTAAGGATACGTGAAATTTGTAGACGATATTAGGAAGGAGTAGAAAAGGTACCTTTATATTGATCAAGTCGTGTCACACCGGTTTTGAGGCTCCTACTCTCTCAATCATATTCATTATAAGCGGATTTGTAGAAATTTAGCTCATAACTATTTAATTTCTGGATGCCAAACAATCAACTAAAAATGGCCGGGTAAGGTTGGATCAGCAAGATTGTGCGGAGGAGTTGGGATTACTTTTGTGTAGCCATAAAGTAAATTGATAGAAATTTTCATATCAAATAAAGAAGGGAAAGGGTAATCTCCTTTACTATTTTCAATCCATCACTTAAATCATTCTACTAAAGAAAACATCATATAAGTATTTGGTGAAGGTATGTCTTCGTAGAAGAAGTAGTTTTGGTCTAATCCCCCTATTATTTTGTACATCTCTTTTTATTAATAAAATATGGTAAATGTTCCCCGACATTTATCCCACCGATAGGTGGTCTGCTTACCGGGATTTAAAAGAAGTGCGTTTACTTTTTAAATACAATCAATCAGGGCCAGTTGGGCTAGGCGATTGCCTAGGGCCTCACCTGCGTTAGGGGTATGCAATACCCCTATAATATAATGTATAGTATACGTAGTAATTGGAATCGGCAATTGGGCAAATATACTTGGTCAACGCGTGTAACAAGCAAAGTAGGGATAATTCATTTGTATGAAATCCGTATTCTACAAATCCCAAATCCCAACAGGCAACTCCACAATCCTCATCCAAAACGCAAACGACCTGTCATTCGTCGATTGAACCATTTGTTGCCCGCCGCCGACCTGACCTAGTGATTCTAGTTCTTATACTTCTCTCCTCTTAATCTCTTCGTATTACTTACTCTTCTCCTGAGGCCTCTGATTCCATTGATTTTTTCTTTAGATTTTAGTCAATACAATATATAGTCAAATTACTACGTATTTAAATAGACTAAAGGTTTAAAGCACACAAGGAATAAAGTGATAAAGCAACTTGGGTGAGCTTGTGATTCAGCAGAAGGAATACAAAATCTGGTTAAGTTAAGGTGTAAAGTTCAAACTACTTAACTTATGATTATTAATTAATGAATATAATTTAAAATATATTGGACTAATATAAATATATAATAATTAATAATATTGGATATATTTCCATATAGGTATTGCTGTATTGTATGAATTGTATGATAAGTACATGAAATTCTATAAGCTTTTGATAAATGAATGATGATAGTAATTTGATGGTATTGGTTGTTTAATTTGTTATTGTCACATATAATTGTCTTGATAAGTTTTAACATTTTATAGTGATGTTCTTAACTTCTTATCGATTTTGCACTTCAATAAAAGCCCAATAGGGTGTTTTAAAGTATAAGCTTGCAGTGTTCTTACACGTGTTATCATTTAAAAATTTATTGTTTCGACATTGACATTATACGGTTCACTTTGAATATGCCTTTTCGTATGGTGATTTTATTCAATTTATTTCATTTTTTATTATGATAAGTGCATAGTTAAAAAAAAGTTGCCTAGGGCCTCCAAAATGCTGGAGCCGCCTTGGTCGTCGCCATTTGGGGAGGTTCCCGGTGGAATTTTTTATGAAATTTTTTGAGCATCTTCTTCATTAAGTCTAGTTTACCCATACCAAATTTCAGCTAACATTTCAATCCGAAAGGCAGTCAAATGAACTTTTGAAGATAACTTCGCAGTTAAACAACACAATATATTTAAAAAAAATCATTTGACTGTCTTCCCGGTTTTATTTTTAGCTGAAATTTGATATGGGTAAACTAGACTTAATGAAGAAGATGCTCAAAAAAATTCATCAAAAAATTTCACCGGGAACCGTCCCAAATGACGACGGCCGGACATAACCACCTTTATAAGGGGTGATTTGAACTTTTTTTATTAGTTTGAGGGATTATATGCCCCTTTCTCAATTTTCTACTGTATCATTCTTCCCTAAGGTGCTACCTAGCATGTAGGACTGTAGCATGTAGGAATGAATATAATAATGTAGGGACAAGATCCTTGTGTAATTATTATAGTGATACTATAATATGATTGCCTTTGAACGCGCTCATTAGCTTATTCAGAAAGTAATTCTTGGTGCGGAAAAGATCCTGTCCAGCCGGAGGGACAGGATCCTCCGTCCGGCCGCCGCCGTTTGGGGCGGTTCCCGGTGGAGTTTTTTGATGAAATTTTTATTGAATGTTCCTCATCAAGTCTAGTTTATCCACAAAAAATTTCAGCTAAAAATTCGATCGGGAAGGCAGTCAAATAATTTTTTGAAACATAACTGCGTTTTATATGTTTAAGTTGGAGCAGTTATCTTCAAAAATTTATTTGACTGCCTTCCCGATCGAATTTTTAGCTGAAATTTTTTGTGGGTAAACTAGACTTGATGAGGAACATTCCATAAAAATTTCATCAAAAAACTCCACCGGGAACCGCCCCAAACGGCGGCGGCCGGACGGAAGATCCTGTCCCTCCGGCTGGACAGGATCATTCCTCATTCTTGGTGTACATAAAATTAACAAATTGTTTATTGTCTATGTACACATGCATTTTGAATAAGATCTTGTCATTTTTCGAACAAATTGTCTGTGTACACAAACAACTAGGAGGATTGTGTATAATTTGTGTACAACAAGAATTTTTCTATTCGGAATGAAGTCTAAAAGGAAAATGATAGGTAAACTCGTTTTTTGCACACATTTTATATACAAGAAATCTGTCTAAAAAAATGTAAAATTGCCTGTACACAAAATAATGTACGAAACATGTATAAAAAATACGTACACCAAATAAAACTTGACCTAACAATGTGGAGATCTAACATATTGTTGGTGGAATTCAGCCGTATAAATCTGTAAAAAAGTGTTTTTGGAAAAATAAAATAACTCGAATCGTGTAAACGCTGTCCTCAAGAAATTATTTCTGACTTACGAAAACCTTTCCCCAAGATAAAACGTACTCTTCGGCGTACACCGGTAACAGAACAACGAGAGAAAGTAAAATAAAATTAATCCAGCAGAGTTAATTTTTTAGGGAAGACGGTTAAGCATCTCTCGATTACTTCAAAAATGGAGCAAGGCACTATAATGATGAATATATATTAGGGGTGGGCAAAACAGTTTTCGATCCGGTTTTTATCGGTTTCGGTTTGGCGAAAATATTACTAACGACAAACCAAACGTTTTTCAGTTCGGTTTCGGTTTGGTTCAGTTTGATGTTCGGTTTATAAAGTTTTTTTTGGATGAAAGAGGCTTACATTGATAACACATCATTCAGATAGTAGATAATTCCGACAAAACAACTCCTGACAACCGCCGTCCCTCGAACTAGACTCAGAGTTTATCGCCTCACCAATATAACTTGCTGATCCATTAATGGGCACAAATGAGCCAAAGACGGTTACCGCAGTCATTCCATCATCCACATCCAAATTCAAAACCACAATCTTACAATCAAAAGACATAAAACAACAAACAAACATAGACAAATTCAGACCAATAACATAAATAAAAGCAAAAAAAATATATTTCTTCACATCCTTCCAAGAACCACCGGTGGCGGTTCAGGAGGGGGTCGGATCGCCTTCACTTCATCTTCTTCCTTCATCGCCTTGATCAGCCCTTGAGTCGCTTCCAGCCGAATCTTCCTATCCACGAACGAATTGCCGGAAGACAACACCGCTCCTCGCCAAAAGACGAAAGCGGACAAATAAACTCTAGCGGGGAAACTCTAGAGATAGGACGTGAATCCAGGACGATGCAGTCCTCCTCCTCCTCCTCTTTGACCGACGAAATATCGATCGCCGCAGTCTTCATCTCCATGGAGGAGTTGTCCGCCTAAATCCTAAGCGGCGCTACGATTCTCAAGTGTTGCGTTTGTTAGGTTTATAAAGTTAAAAATAATAATGTATAATTTCATATTTTGAAGTCAACTTTTACTTATATTAAATGGTTTGTTTAAGTTTAAATCCAAACCAAGTAAACTAAAACAAACCGATAAAATCAAAATAGAAATAAAATAATAGAATTCATTTATCTGGGGAAGATGGAAAAGGGAGAGGGTCACGGTGGTGGCGAGTACTGGTGGTGGGCAGCTGCAAGCATCGGCCAATTAGGATGGGGAATCTCCGCCTTTAGAAGAGGCTACGCCGGTGGTTCCCACTTCATGCCATTCAAAGCGTTTTTCGTTGCCTCTCTCTTTGTAGGCGCCACAGCTTCCGCCACACTCGCGTCCCTTCGCGCCTCTGGCATCCATTATGTGAAAGATATGAAGACAATGGGTGCAAGTATAAGAAGCGGAGTTGGGATACCTCCCAGGGCACAAGATAACTAAGATGATGGTTTTTTAAGCAGCGTTGTCTTGCATTTTAGCTGAAAAGTAACTATGATGGTGAATGCAGGCTATATTTGAGCTCCAACATGTTACTTGGTTATGTTTTAAAATAGGCTCCTCAACTTTCTCTTGCTCACTTGGCTTGCATCTCGCCAAAGGTCTATACAATGTGTGTCAGTCAATAGCCACTTAAAGTATAAAAAACAATACTACTTATTCATTTATCTTTTCATATTTATCATGGATCTATTATCATTGGCTTTATTATCATGACTCAATTCATGTTAACCGACTCCAAAATCTTTTGGGATTAAGGCTTAGTTGTTGTTGTTGTTGTTGTTGTTATCCAAAGTTATTGTTTTTACACCCGTTCAGTATCAACAGTTGAAGCATCATGGATTGAGATCTCATTATTCTCATGTAACAAACTGGTTTTTATTTCTGCAAAATGAACTTGTAGGAGCTGTAGCAGACCTGATGTGTGTTTTCTCGCACTTAAAATAGATCGTAATATAGTGGTGTAAGTACGAGTATCGTCTCCACAAGGACGGACAAAAGGGAATTAAGAATTAACTAAATTCAGCGATTAAAAATAAATAAATAAAAAATGCGTCATGTGAGAAATGATTGGGTTGGAAAATTAAACTAGTGCAACTAAACGATTAAAATATATGGGTTCTCTCTAATTAATGACGAAGGAAATAGGGATTGATTCCGGGGTAACCAGATTTCTGGCAGATCAGGCCTAATTACATGAAATTAATTCAATTGAGCCTAGCTAATCATTACTAAGTTCTTACCGCTCTCACGGCGTAGAGTACAATAATTTAGGAGACCAGGCTGATCTCTCATGCGACAGGATCCTAAATTATTGCCAAGACGAGCGAGCTTACGGCCCCTTAATCGCTACTAATCTCTTAGCGAACGATTAAGTGTGTGTGAAGGTGTCCTAGAATAAATTAGATCTCTCTTAATTTATTCTACAAGCAATTGTAATTCTAGCGCGCGTTCTAGGTTACAAAAGATATCAGTTAAATTATTCAAACACAAATTAAACGGCATTCATGCAATTAAACCGAAAGGAATCTAGCCATACATCATGATCAATCCCTTCATCAATCCCAAATCCCTAATTAAAACTACTCACAATTCATAATTGAAGAATCAATAGAATTGGAATAAAAAGAATTAATTGTCATTAATTAAAAAGGTGGAACTTACAAAGAATCCCAAAAGATTGATGAACAAGGCTGAAAAGCCCTCTAAAATTCGTGCTAGGCACTCTCTCTAAGCTCCCCCCTCCCCCAAAAACGGGGTTTACAGGCTGTTTAAATAGGAAAAACAGAACAAATTCGGGCGAAATTAGGATTCTAGGGGTAACGCACGGGGCCAACGCACGGCGTGCGTCCCCCAGTGCGTCCGGAGCAATGAAACGCGAAATTTGGCAACGCACGGCGTGCGTCCCCCTACGCACGGCCGTGCGTTGATGGCAGTAGGTTCTTTGCTTTCTCGCCTCAGACGCACGGTCGTGCGTTCCCCTACGCATGTCATGCGTAAAACTTCCAAATTTGACAAAACTTCCTTCATGAAAGTTGTATATAATGAAGTCCCCTATTCACTCCAACTTGCCGAATGTGATTTTAATCATCCAATCAAGATATATGATCAAAACGGTGGAAGGTGTCATTCTGAAATCGCAGCAGAGATCATCTGACTTCATTGTCTGTTTTCACCTTCTTTCTCTCAGATTCTCGGAAAGGTGTCTTCATATGATGTGTAGCCCGTGAAGTTATATTTCATATAAAACTTGAATCGTGTTCTTTGTATGAGTCTACAAAGAGATATGCTTGAACGATTGACAGAAGGTCATCCTGATCGTCGTTTTCAAGCTTCATTCATCTTCTTTTTATCCTGAAACCAATCCTAGAGCACTTTTGTCATCAAATCTTCATCGTAAACCTCCCGCTGACCTCCATAGCTCTCAATTCAATCTCAAATGCTTCTCAACTCATCCCGATTTCTCCTCAAGCGCCAGTGCCGAACTCTAAAATCCTGATTTTGACTCCAAATGACACAAAACTCGAACCAACGCCTGGTAAACATAACTTGAGCTAAAATTGAGACTTATAACACCTTAAAGATAGGAAAACCATCAAAATCTGATCCGAACACGCATCAAATGTGTGTCTAAATACGGACTTATCAGATTCCCCCACACTTAAGCCTTTGCTTGTCCTCAAGCAAACTGAACAATGGGACTTACGATAATCACCACACGGAATTAAAAACAATTAGCATGCATACGTAGTTAAAGGGATATTCACAGAACAGACAGTCTAAACCAAGAAAAATATTTTCTAAATTACATCTTTGTACTCAAGCTAAACTATTTGACAAAATTATTCACAACATCCTTAAAGTAATGACTGCAAACACAAATAAACTAACTAGTGATCAGAAGGACTTGTGAAGGTGGTGGTGAATGGTAATAAACAGTCCCTTTCTTTGAGAGATTGGAACATTCTAACATAGACTCAATGCATTCAGGAATTTTAGGGCTATTCTTATGAACAAGGAATTTAGTAGGCCACAATTTAGGAACAATCATTTAAATCTATGCAAAAAGCAGACATGGTGTACAACTAAGCTAAACCGTCTCGGCACATTTGTGCTTTGACGTACACTTGAAGTTCGCGGAGGACTAAAGCTAATTTTCAATAGCCTCCAAGTTCATTAATTATGTTTAGTTTTCCTTGTCATGTTGGCACGAGAACGCCGTTTCTTTCGAAAGATACTCAAGTCTCATCTTATGCTTTTTGACCGGGGCTCCCATTCTCTTTTTCGCAAGGCAAGAGGTCTAGCTATATTAATTAATTTTTCACCTTTCGGATTCTCACTAGACATTACCCCATTCTAATATCGGCCTCACCAAGGAAAAATAGCAATTAAAGTTCGTTAATCCAATCGTGAATCCATGCCTACAATGCAATCCCCGAAAGTATCAAATTCCTAAAAAGTGACTGCTCTTACCCCATTTGGGGCATAGGAATAGTGCCAGAAAAATGGCTCTTACACAAATTCCTAAACTTAGCAAATTAATCCCCTAGTTCCCTAAACATCAAGACTAAGTTAGAAATATTCACGGGTAAGGAAACAGGCCATTTGGCTATGGAGCTCAATTAATTGGGTAAACAAAGATCAGTCAGGCTCAAAGTGGTTTTTTCTAAAGGAACTTATTCAGGTGGGGTGGGTGATTAATGGAAAATTGAATGGGTGACTAATGCCTGCATCCTCTTAGTAACTAGAATATAATGCAAGCAATAAGCCTAAACACTTCAAGGACATTCTACAAGCATAGTCAAAAACGCTAGCCAGCTCACAAAGACACAGTTTAAAGAAAAATTTTTGAAAAATTTTGACATGAATTTTCTATGAATATACAACTAACACCTGCGCATGCTAACTCTAATAATCACATGTAACAACTACTGCCCGAATGCCCAATTCACTCCCCCACACTTAAACTTTGGCATCGCCCTCGATGACCAAAAATACACTATGCACAAGGGGGTAAAGAGAAAAGGGTCACACATGCTCAACTTAACTCAAGTCAATTATTACAAACAGGCGATTGTAAGAGTCATAAAAAACTTCCCTAAGGCGCTGGTCGGTGCAGAACTAAACTGAGTCAAGTGATCCTCGGCACATCATCCCCAAAGCAAGACCCTGAGCTGCAAAAACAATACACACAAACACAAAAACAATCCCACAAAAAACACCCCGGATTTTTTTTTTTGGTTTTTTTTTTCGGGGGTTTTCTGAAAGAAAACAAACAAAAAAGCAAACAAACAAAAATGCAGAAATAAGCTTGGGTTGCCTCCCAAGAAGCGCTATTTTTAACGTCGTTTGCCCGACGCAACTTCCTCATACGCTCTCAAATAGCAAAGACTGTAGTGGTGCATTAATAATCAATGTCTCCAGCTTCCTCTCAACAAATGCCATTAGGTGTCGCGGATCTTTAAATTCTTGAAAACACGTAGGCGGCACATGGTCTTCATAACCCTCATCAGCACAGAAGTGAAGTATGAAACTCTCATCCTCTTCGGACGGACAGAGAACATGAGTGAAAACATTGATTACTCTAGGTGTCACTGGAAGCTCAAAACATGTCTCAAAGCAAAGATTATGAGCAACACCGTGATCGAACTGCACCATAGAAAAGTCTTTTTCTTCTCCACAAATATCATGAACATTCACAACCTCTCCTCCAGACTCTGTATCACTCCCCATGAATGCATCCCAATTCGTTTCGTCACTCTTCTTATTAATATCCTCCAAGCAGTTGTGATTATTCTCCACACACAAAGAAATATCATCACCAAGGAATGGATCAAAGAAATCCAAATCTGAAACCACGTAAGAGTGGACCGGTGCATGTGTACAAGAAGGGAATTCTTGCTTGTGGAGCGGGACTTCTTCATTATGGGTTTAACTTTCTGACTGTTACAAAAAATAGATCAGAATTCATTACTTTTTTATCCTTAATATTACACTTATATTGGGTATATATATAAAAAGTTATTAAATTTGATATATTTTTTGAAATAAAAAGAGTACAAATAAAAAACTTGTAACACTTCAAAAAGTTGGCGGTTCTCCTCAAATGACATTTATTTCGGCCCTATTTTGAGAAATATTTTTAACACAACATCAATTTTATAATTTTTTATTTTATTTAGTACGGAGTATTGTTTTGAGAAAGAACTCAAAAACTTGATCCCTGTCGTCCTTAATATAAGGATCCTTTCAAAATGAGACAACTGTTAGTTTTATATATTTTTCATGTTTTTCTCCTAATAAAAATATTCATTTTAAAGATATATTAAAAGATAGGCCGGATAAATGATTGCCATAATCATTTTAATAAAATAAAGAATATTAACTACTTTTTTGTTGTCTAATTTGACCAGAGGGGTAATAAAGTTTGAACAAAAAAGTTGACTACAGAAACTTTTGCAATAATAATTTGAATGACAAATAAATTTATGATGAACAACCATTCAAACTTATGATAAAAAAAACCATTCAAACTTCGTTCAAAAAAAAAACCATTCAAACATATATTCTCGACTCGAATGTCAAGTTTCTACATGAAATCAGAGTACTCTTTTTTCTACCAATACTGATTTTTAAATTCTTGGAGAGGAGAAAGAAAAGAGAAAAGAATAAACCCATGGAGTCTGATTTTATATTCTCAAGAAAATGAAAACTTTATCTGGTTTGGCGGGAAAAAGAAAAGAGAATCACATTGAAAGAATAAAGGCCTTTTTATTCCAATATTACTAAAATGAATGAAAAAGATAAAAAAGTGTCATGTTTTAAATTTTTACAAAAATGTGACTAAAAGTCATTTATTCCTTATGTTTAATCATTTATTACTTTTACACGTTTAATTTATAGTCATCTTGAGTAGCTCCCAGCACCTCCAGACCGCCGACCCTAGCACCACCTCTGCCGCCGCCACGGTCACCTCCGCCGCCACTGCCATGGTCGCCGCCGCCGCCGCCACCGGCAGTCACTGTCACAGTGACTCTGGCCAAAGTGACTTCGCCCAAAGTGACTCCGCCGATCACAGTGACTCCCGTTTACGGGTCATAGTGACCACCGCTCAGTGACTCCGGTTACGTTGACTGCCTGCTCAACGACAGTTCTGCCACCGCTAGACAGTGACTGCCGCCGCCATTGAAAGTGACTCCGCCGACAGTGACTGCCGCCACCCCCAACCAGTCACTGCCCCGGCTAGTCACTGCCGCCCCCCTCCCCCGGCAAGTCATTGTCAATGTCCACGCCTTCAACTAAACCACCTCAAACCAACCACCCCGGCCAGCAAGGCGACCACCGCACCCTAACCCAAGCCCCAAGCCCTGTCCACCATTGGCAACCACCACCTCCGGCGTCCACCAACTCCGGCCAGCGCCGGTGACTACCACACCCCAGCCTGCTGCGTCACCCCAGCCCCCCTGCCCGACCCCACCCTCACCTCAACCCCCTGCCCTGTTTCACCCCAGCCCAGCCCTCCGCCGCCATGCACGGCCACCACCCCCAGCCTCGCCGCCTCAATAACCACACCCCATCGCCCACCGCAGGCCAACCAGTCCACCACCGCCCAACCTTAGCTAGAAATCCCAGTCATCCAAATTAGATCTGGAATGTGGCCACCGCCGCACCACTGCCCACCGCCGCACCACCGCCACTGCCCACCGCCGCACCACCGTCAATGCTCCATCCTCGTACCACTGCATCACCACCAGCCCCACCCGACCTTCCCACCCCCCTTCGCCGTGACCCAACCGCCGCCTCCCAAACTGAGATCTAAGCCTCTGTTAATCGATTAACCTAGACGCCGTCCATCAGCGCCGTCATAGCCTTCACAACGAGGTCCGTTTACCAGTGAAGAAGAATGGAGAAGAAGAGAAACGTCTGAAGGCGAGAGCGGCGTCAGCTGGTGGAGACCAGGGGCAGCGGCTGAGAGCAATGTCGACTGGTGGAGGGACTATCAACGGCCGAGCAGCGAAGTGGAGGTGACGGATTGGTGGAGGCACAGGGTTGGGGGAGGAAGACGACATGCGGCGATGGAGGTACGCTACGACCGGGCGAAGGAATACGATGAAGAAAGGGGAGTGCGATGAAGAAAGGGTCTGTGGATCACTTTTTGGGAAAATGTAAAAGAAGTCATATATTTAGAAACTAAAAGCCCATTACTAATAACCGGGTAATGGGCTTTAATTAGACCCATGAAGTCTATTTAGAAGACTTTAATTATTTCCTTTAGGTCTAAAGAGCGACCTCTCTATCTTGATTTCTCAATTATAATCTTTTTCTATATGTTATTTTCTCAATGAAAACTTTATCTGGTTTGTCTTCCTTTTCTCAATTATAATCTTTTCTAATTTATTTTCTTTTTTTTTTTGAGAGTCTTTTCTATCTTATTTTCATGTACTCCATTCCAAATTAACTTCACTTTTGATTTTTACATAGTTTATAAAATGTGAAAACCGCATAATTAAGTAATATGGAGTACTTGTTTAGAGATGAGAAAGTATATATCAAACCCATAATGCTTTTCTTAAGTGACACGCAAAGGTAATTTTAAAATGAATTATAAATACTTCTATACAGAATATTTCTTTAATACTTCTCAGCTCTTACAAAACGATATTATCTTTTCTCTCCCATTTCTCTCTTCTCATTTTCCCTTCGGCGGACCAAAAAATCAAAGTGCCTATCCTCAAGGAAATGGATAATAGAGATATGGATAACGAGCCAATCCTTCGTAGGAATAAGGTTTTAATACTTGTAGGTGTTTGTTTTCTCTTTCTATTGGTAGGGATTTTTGCTAAGCACAATAACCCCAAGTCAACCAAAGTTGAAATTGAGAACAAGATGATTGGGCCTCTCATCCCAATGAGTAATGTGATGATTTGGAAGAGGACGAGGCGCCGTTTTTCGTTTCATCATCACCATACTCATAACTCTATCAACTATGTAAGCAAAAAACCTGTGCCAAGTATGCCTAACCCCAGTCACAACAGGTATGTGTATAATTGCAAAAGATTTCATTACAAGGTGTGGTAAATATAGTAATTTGAGTCTCTGTACGTATATGTACTACCTCCGTCCCAAAAAACTTTGCCATTTTAAAAATTTTGACGGGCTATATCATTTTATTGGAAATTATTTATAATATAAAAATTATATGAAAATGTTCTTTGTTAAAAGTACTTTCATAAAAGTATAAAATTTATATCTTCTATGATATTATACTAATCAAAATTAAGGTTCAAATTTTTTGAAATGACAAAGTTTTTTGGGACGGAGGTAGTATATATATAAGTCTCGGATCATCAAATAAAAAATCACCTTTAATTTTAAAGTTGTAAATCGCTCACTTTTTTCTTAATGTGATGCTTTTTAAGGGTGAAGTGTTTTTACTTTGGTCGAGTCATGCCAAATAAAAAAAATGGTGACATTTTGGTAAATAAATCAAAATTTTCTATCAATGCAAAAAGTGCAACATAGAATCCTAATATGCACCCCATTGGAAAAAAATTAAACGATTTGCAATTTCCGTGGGAAGAATGATTTTTATTTGATCTACATCTTATATATAGATGTGTGTGTATACATACAAATTTCTGTTGAAGTGAGAATTGTATTTAATATGAGAAATGAGATTGAATCTTAGCCATTGGATTTACGATGTTGCACTAAATCAGCTTCATGTTGTACTGTATATAATTAAATTTATCAATGTTGCACCAAAATAGCTTCATGTTGCACCAAAATAGATTCATGTTGCACTAGGATTTGACAATGTCGCATGATTGCATACTCCAGTGCAACATAAATTTCTTATTATACCACAACATAGTCTCATCCAATTGATGATATTCATTCTCATTTCTCACCTAAAAACTTTTTCTTATTGGAACTTCACCCTACACAAACATTTATATAGGGGGAGGTTTCAATAAGAAGAAGTCTTTAGTGGGAAATGAAAATAAATATCAGCCATTTTGATTCGACTATCTTGCAGACTTGCTGTGAAAATAATTTTATGTTGCACTTAAATGTGCAACCTAGCATAGTGACATTTTTGTAAATACTTCTGAAAAATTCGTATTATATTTGTTTGGTTCAACGTGAAGCTGTTTTGGTGCAACATCCTCAAACTTTAGTGCAACGTGAAATAGTTTAAGTGCAACATTGTACAATATAAATCCTACTGCAAGTCTGCAACAACATTAAGCTATTTTTTGTGCAACATCGTAAATCTAAAGACTGAGATTCATTCTCATTTCTTACGTTAGATGCATTTTTTATGAAGCACATATTGATTTTACAATCGTTATGTAATCCAATATTTGCATCTGATTCTGCTAACGGCTATTCTAAGAAAGCAGACAACCCACATAAAAATAGAATGTAGTTAAACTCAAGCTACATTTGCCAAGGATTGAAAGAAAAAATATAGAGAAGAATCTTAAGTTTAGATGAAAATTTCAATGAAGAGTAGTAAGTCTGTCATAAGAAATTAAAGATGTTTTAAATTGGTTTGTAATTTAGTAATTCGGTCTTGTCCAAACTGGTCTGGTCTAATAGGTGTATTTTTATGTGTATTTTATAACTGTCAAAGTCTAGTCTAATCTCACATGGTCTACTCTTGTCTGATATGATTTATTTAAGTTTAGTCTGATCTGAGACTAAAAGTAGTCCAATTAAAAACATCACAAATTATAAGTAGTATATAATTATCCCACGCGAAGTTAGGATGTATTTAATTGGACTGAAATTATCTGGTCTGATATGGTCTAATTTGGTCTAGTTTATTTAAGTATGATCTAATATGAATTGGTCTCGTTTAGTAGATATATGGTCTATGTGTATTTTGCAACTTTCGAAATATGTTGTAGTCTGATCTGATATGATCTGATCTGGTTCATTTAAATGTGATCTAGTTTATGTCTGAAACAATCCAATTAGGAATTTTTAACGTGTAGATGGTTATGCATATTTAATATATAAGTAACCTTGTATTGAATTTAAAACGATAGATGTTACTATGTGATACACAAGTTTTATTAAGTTTTTCAAATGTATTATGTGTTTATAATATGTCATTCATGACTTACGTGGATGTTTAACAAAAAGGGCACCACCAA